GTAAAGTATCTATAGATTTAATATTGATTTTTAAAATATCTCTAAGTTTTCCTCACATTCTTATAATCCTAGGATCCCATAATTTCATTTATATAGTACCCCCAAATTCCCATAATCCTATTTTTAAAATATCCATAAATTAGATTTTTTTTTTTTTATGTGATTACCTCAAGGTGAGGAAAATTTGGGAATTCCCTATCCCCGATGGGGAATGAGTGTCTCGCCCCGAACCTGCCCCACCACTGGGGTTGAGGCAGGAATGGAGTAGAGTGCCTTGACTTACATGGGTTAGGGACAAGAAGAGATGCCCCATCCTGTGCATCGAATGGGCCTCCGTTAGTGACTCACTTATAAAATTGTAGTAATGATATTGGCTAACTATTTTTTTTTAGAGACATCATTGACAAATACCATTCTATCTAGACAAATTATTCATTTCATGAGATAAAAAAAAGTGGGGATTTATTCTGAGAAACAGGAATTAGGATCATTTTTGCCTAATGCCTAAACTATTTATTAGAATTAAAAAAAAAACAAGAATTCATTAATTTCTGAATAATTCTAAAAATTGATCTTCGTGTTTTTATACTTACATGGCAAATAATCGATCTTTGCATGTGTAAATCATAGGTAGTGGTTGTTAATGGGTTAGCCTTTCCCTTTAGTAGGGGTTCTTTTAGGGTTATCAAAACTTTTCTCTTGTGCCTTGATGGCACCCTCTGAAGTGTAATGTTGAACAGAGGACGTTTGGCTATTAATCATCTTATGCATACCAAATGATTTATTGATATTTGGTTGTGCTAGCTGTGTTGAAATTGACAATGTGATGAAGACCATAGGACCTATTATAGGTGGTCAAGGCAATTTCCATTCTTTGGATGGATCAATAAGACATATTGAATTGGACTTGTCCAGACTTAATGGTTAGTATTTATTGGATTGGATGTATCTGATTCATCTTTAATGAATTTATATTGGATTGGATTGGATTGAACCCATATCTGGTCTATGGCTTGATTTGAACCCATATCTAGTCTATTGATAAAAGATAAGAATACAGGTGTCAATCGACCAGGTATGAATTGGAACCAACTTTAATTAAAACTAATTCACCTGATTGGATTGGACTTGATCCATTTGTAATGGATTCATATTGACACCCCTAGGGCCCTACATACAGGCATAATTGCTCTCATCAAAGCCTCTTTTGCATCTATTCTCGTCTACTATATATCCACACATTGAATCCCTGCCCTGTGGACATATTTAAAAAGTTGAATAATAAAATCCTAAGATATTTTTGGTGGAGGTACAAGGACTAAGCACTGTGGTCGGCATGTCTATTTGAATTGAAAGCTTGGGTGGATATGTGTAAACAGAAAACCCAAAAGAGTTGGTGGGCTGGGTCTTAGAGACATTGTCCATAAAATCTAGATAGTTTCATTATTAAAGTTGGGATGGAGATTGGTCAATAAGCCTGATTCTTTATGGGCCCAAGTGATTACAAGCAAATATCTTGGAGTGTAGGGACCATAACTTTTGCTACTTTCAATATGTGCTAATGACTCAGTTATTTGGAAGAAAACCTTGGAATACAGATTGATTCTGAGGAGAGGTGTGGGAGACTATCCACTATTAATACCATAAAGGCATGCATGAATACAGGAAAAACTTATAATGGGTCAATTCTGACTCCATGAAGAATCCAAACGTATAATGGGTACCTCCTCACCCATTTTCCCATGTGACCCAATTATTCATCTGCCATGTCATATGTGAAAAGAAGACCTTATCCCAAGAAATTCAAATTATTATATCCAAAAGTGCTCTCTATGCAGCAATGACGCGGACAATGACAAGCACATTAATGGCTAATTCAGATGTCTCCCATCAAATAAACAGTCCAGATATGAGCCATCCTGGGGTGGTCCGAATCTAAAACGTCCCCAAAATCTCCTTGCCACGTGGCAAAGTATACATATTCTCACCCTTGTGTTTATATTAAGATAATGAAATAAAAAAAAAATATTTGTGAAACTTGAAGAACAAACAATACCATAGACTCATATAGGGCAGACGTGGTCAAAGGATACTGTAGCAGTTATATATTCAAAGAAACCTTCATCAAATGAACAGTCTGGATCGTTCCTCATCCAGGCAAGGCTCAGCCAGGCCAAGAGGAAACAAACAGAAATGGGAAAACTCTTACTAAGCATATAATCCAAAGGTGGCCCAGCAATTGAATGCCTCAGACTGATTTCTGGAAATGGACAATGACCCATGAGGAGGACACCGATTCATGTGCCTCGATAAACTCAGACCAACTAGCTAGCTAGCCCTCATAATCACCACCGCCACCATGAAACATGGCATCATGACATCATCGCTAGCTTCACAGTTCAGACATGGCGGAGATGAGGTGTGATGATAAAGGAAGATCATATAATGACTAATGAGCACATAAATCAGAGAATTGTTTAGAAAATAAAGAGAAAAGCTTTAACTCTATTATCTCTTTCTATCTCTTGCCCCCTATTACAAGATTAAATTAAGAAAACCAGAAAAAAAGAAGAAGAAATAACATACAAAAATCTCAGCCAACCTCATTGGGTGAGAGAAGAAGCATTCCCAGTGGAGGCAGAAGAAGAGGAGGAAGAGTTTTTGTGGTTGTGCATCCAAACCTTGAAGACCTGTCGACTCACTCCAACAGCCTTGCAGAACTTTTCGATCTCATCCTCCTGATCTCTTCTCTGTATCCTCCACCCAAGCTTCTCAGCAAAGGCCAGCATCTTCTCCTTCTGTTCCGCGGTGAACTTGGTCCTCATCCTCTTCTTCCCGCTCCGATCCTCCTGCGACTCCACCATCATCGCTGGCTGGGTAGACGCGTAGTCCATCATCTCCACCACCTCCGCGTCCCGAGCCCGGTTGTTGTTGCTGTTGCTTCCTCCCCTTCCACCTCCGCCGCCCAGGACGATGACTTTCCGGTGGAAGTTGCGGTGGCACCCGCACGCCTCACACATTAGTCCTCCTGTGGTGGTTTCATCTGCCGTGAACTCCCCACAGCCGTCCGTCGCGTAGCTGCCGAGGCTGGCTGCATGATTGCGGAGGCATTCTCTATAGGCATCATTTGTGCTGTCTCCCTCCATTTCTTTCTCTCTCTCTCACACACACACAGTTTCCTTGCTACTTTTTGTATGTCATCTAACATATATATATAGTGGAGAGGGGAGAAATGAAATAACAATTTAGGGACTGGTTGGTGAATGTATGTGCCTAGATGTTATTCTACATGTCTATAATAAGTGGGGAATATATCATACCTATATTAATACCCTAATTTGGGCTAAAAATGTAATAAACAAGCTGATTTGTAAAATCATATTTACCCTCCTCTAGTTTCTACTTAGTTTCCAATAAGTTGAATTAGGTAATATCATGTTCGCCCATTCTATTGGGGGGCGGCTTGGTGTTTGGGGAGGGCAACCCTATTGGGTAGCCCATTTGCCTGCCCAAAAAAAGTTTTCCCTGTCTATTGGATCAAATGATTCAAGGATTTTTGATCTCCATCATGATTCATTTGATTTTCATGGATGATAAGTACAATATGAAAGATAAAAGGAAAAAAAAAGAATTGAATTATGATGTATTTCAAATTTTTATGATAGGGTATATCAAAATTTCAATCAATTATGTTAAAGATGTCCATACTTAATTTTCATTGATTCATGTTTGACAAAATGTTTTTTTTTTACATTTTATATGTATTTATCATTAAAAATTTTAATAATATTAAAATATCACTGTAATGTCTTGCTTTATTGTTGATTCCTTCATGTTTGAACTATGTACTTATGTTGTAAAATTTTCATAGGATGCGTCATAGATTTTGCCAAAAAAATGTACAATTGTAGTTATTTGATCACGATTTAGATTTTATTATACTGATGTTTCATATCAAAACTTGATAATTATGCAAATGATCATACTGAATACATAGCGAATATGTTGGATTAATTAGTCCAATAAGGGCATATAAAATTTTACTGCCACATTGCAGCATTTTCAGAAAAAAAAGAAAAACTTAATGTATAAGTTAGAAATAGATTAAATGTGAAATAGTCTTATGATTCGCAAAAAATTGATATTTTTTAGATCTTCCAATAGGAGTGCAAGTCGGGCAAGTTAGGCCGGGTTTATAGTCAACATAGGCCTGACCCTAAAATTTGGACTTAAGGCCCCAGCCCAGACCAAGCTTGAGGTCAAGCCTGATCTTTCCAATCCAATCCCAGCCCGCACTGTAATTTGATGCACTAGGGTTAGGCTTGGGGCAGGGCCAGGTTTGAACTACCTAAGGGCTAGACCTGCGCCTGACCTAAAAAATAAAAAAAAAAATCTGACTTCTTGGGCCTGAGCCCAATCTAAGGACTGAAATTCCAAGCCTGATCTGTATAAAATTTTGGGCTAGGCCCGCCCAAATTGCACCCCTACTTCCAATTGTAACTTTTATGTGGAAATTCAGTAAAGTATATATACAAATTGTTTGTACTATATTACCTAATTCTATTCCATTATACCATATTGATAGTTGATAGTTTATATTTAAGGGTATGTGAAAATTCAGTGGAATGGAGCATGGTTTTGTTAATGCAAGGTAATATATTAAGAATAACTATATATTTGTGTGCCAAAAAAAATGAAGAAAAAGGAACAAAGAGACAGAGCCCATACCATATCATGTTAAATGCCTAGAAGAAAAAGGGATATAATCCCTAAGAAAGATAGAGAGGAAAAATTGCTTCTTTTTCGATATGGACTTTGATGTCCATTTACCACTATTTATGTAATATTACACCTTTTATGTCCATTTATCCTATTCATTCAATCATATCGATCAAGTTGTTCAATGAATCACAACATTACACCTCTTACATACATATTATGAGTTAAAGATCTGCTTCTAGCTTCTTAGAGGGATAAGGTTTTTATGTTCTCCTCTTAGGATTTAGTTATTTCATTATTAATAGAATTAACAGTGGTACTAAATGTGCCATATAATTCTAAACTTTTGGAGTGAAAATTATTTTCAAGGATATCTTAAACCTTAAAAATAAATTGTTGTTTTAATATAAAAATATTATAATATACTTGGGAGGCCTGGTCTAATTGGTATAGATGATTTGGTTCATCATTTACCCAAATTATGGCCATCTATCTTGTTGTTGTTGTAAGTTGGTTATAGGACATTTTTTTAGCAAATTTAACTGAGTAAAATGGGAGATTTGGCTTAATAAGACCCAGAAATTAGCAATTGGGACTTAATCACAGTAAGACCATCTCCCTCAATACAGCATTATACCAAGAATGAAATTTGATTGGAATTAAGGAGATCATCCATGGTAACCCAGAAGAATAATGGGCCTCATTTGGCATCACTTGGGAGGTTCTATTGTTCTGATTCTCATGATCCTTTGGATGAGTATGACAGTTGTTAGCATCATTACTCAAAATCCCATTCGATTAAATAGTCCCTACAATTCTTTTCACATCTCCTCTAAAATAACAAACACGTGCGTGCATGCTCCAAAGGGAAAAGAATTGTGTTAGTGTAATTTTGCACAAAATTATAACATTCAAAGGGAAAAAAGACCCAATCCTCTCATTCATATGTCTCTCTTCCATTGTTTTCTCTGCAGAGTTCAAAGTTGTGTTTGTTCTCTTCTTTGTTGACCAATCAACTTGCCACTACCAAGCTCCGACCATCTTTGTATATTTGTCATGGTCATCCTTTCTAGTAAGATATATACATTTCTTTTTTTTCGTTACTCTAAAGAATAGTATTTGTTGCTGTTAAGATTAACAACAAGGATGAAATAGGGAATTTTCTAGAGACCTTGGCTGATGAGGGTGTCACCTCGATTTGGTACTTGGCTGCTACTATAGAGCACCTGTGATTAGAAGAAAACATTAGAGGCCCCTGGGGGTGTAGACTGCGAGGGTCAAGCCAATAACGCCAAAAGTAGAGAAGTAGAGAAGATGAGCTGAAAAGATCTGAAGCGAGGTGAAATGAGGTATGCTGAGGTGGGAGAGAGTTTAGGAGTGTATGAAAGTCATACCTTTTACCTTATAGGCGAGGTGTCCATTGAAGGGCTTATCTGTAACACTTTCCCGCATCGAGCTGCATTTATTGTCAACATCACTTTAGTTGGCACCATGTGGCTGGGTGTTACTTGGGTAAATGAGGCGTGTCGTGTGCCACATTTTGTGGCTAGTGGTATTGGGTCAGCTTGGCTAGGCTAGGTCTGTTGGAACAGAGGTTGATTGGGCTTAGGTGAGCTCAGCTAGGTTGACTTGGCCAAGCCAGGTCGATTCAGCCAAGTTAATTGGGTTTATGTGAGCTCGACTTGGTCAGTTCGGCCAAGCCAGGTTAGTTTGGCCTTCTACAGTAATGTTGGGCCAGTTGGCCACTTTTCCCCTAACCTCTTGTTCTTATGCGACAATTTTTGAACGGTAGTCGGTTTTGGTCGTATCAGATGCTGTCTCCACTTTCGAGAATGAGGGAGTGTCTAGACTCTAGACCAATTTGTTTGAAGGAAGTATCGAATTGGTTACTTGTCTCTAGGCCAACAGGATACCTTTGCTTCATGTTTAGTTAAGTTAGCAATGGCATTCGGTTGGCTACTACAGGTCAGCGCTAGATAGTATGTAGGGTTTATATTGACTGTTCCACGTCGACCTTTAGGTTGGTCGTTTGGAGGTTAATTCAAGTCAACAGGCTGGATACTTGTTGGGCATGGTCTTTTTGTTTGTTTAGGTTCCCATAAGCGACATACACCATTTATTGCTTCCAAAATTTGCAACAACGATGAAATCACAAGGAATTTGCTAGAGATTTCGGCTGTTGGTGAGTTGTCACCTTGGGTCAATACCTTGGCTACAACAGAGCACCTTGGTTGAGAGGGTGTCACCTCGGATGCGTCGGTACCTTAACTATTGTGAAGCATATGCGATCAGAAGAGAATGTTAGAGGCCCTGGAGTGATATATTGAGAGTGTGGACTTTGATAATAAAATTAGTAATGCCAAAAGTAGAGAAGATGGGCTAAAGAGCGTAGTGAAAATGCTATGAAGTGAGGCGTGCCAAAGTGGTGGAGAGTATAGGCGTGCCAAGGTGGCCATTTAATGCCGAATTGAAGGGCTTCATAACGCCTTCCCACATCGAACTAAATTTATTATCCGCATTGCATTAGCTAGCACCATGTGGTTGAGTGTTATTTGGGAAAATTAGTGGTTGAGAGGGTGTGACTTCATGCGATGGGAAGATTATATTAGAAGCCCCATGGTGCACGGACTTCGACTATTAAATTAGTAATGCCAAAAATAGAGAAAATGGACTAAAGAGGTCAGCAAAATGCCATGAGGTGAGGCGTGCCAAAGTGATACGAGTGTATAAGAATCGTACCTTCTACCACCTTACCTACTTATTGGCAAGGTGGCCATTTAATGCTGAATAGGAGGGCTTCATAACGCTTTCCCACGTCGAACTACATTTATTTATCCTCATTGCATCACCTAACACCATGTGGTTGGGTGTTACTTTGGGAAAATGAGGTGTGTCATGGTTGGTGGTATCAGCTAGGTTGCCTTAGCTAGGCCATGCCGGTTCAGCACTAGGTTGACTGGGCTTAGATGAGCTTAATTATTTTTATTCAATATAATTTGGTATTAAAAAGTAAAAGTTTTCAATAATTATGGCGTTTCTTGTAAAATTATCCTTTTCTAGGGGCAGATATATAAGAAGGTAAAAGGGTAAGAGAGTAGCTGAGTAGGGGCCAAGAAGAAGGGTAGTTGTCTTGGTTTATGTGATATGAGAAAGAGAAACTGGTGCTGTCCCTTTTGGTAATAATAAAGAAATGCGAAGGGCTCTAAAGTCAAAACACTGGTAGAAAAAGGTTCAGCGGGCCTGTGAACTGTATAGGTGTGAGAAACCGAGAAGTCACCGGGAATTACAAAAATTTCCTTGTACTTTTCCGTTAATGAACCAAGGAAAGTATAGAGTACATTCTGCCATATCATTACTACTATGCATCCGACTGTCCGACGACATGTGACGCTGGTCACAGGATTACAGTGGGACCCACCATCACGTCACGACAGAAACACAATCTGATTGAAAATTCAGTCAGTCGATGCGCATCCAGTGCTTTTTTGATGGTCAGAAACATGCCAGGGCAATCAGGCATCCGTGAAGAAGAAAAGACTTCGAGATCTCAAATCCCG